CGTATTTGTAAAAAACGCAACAGGAAGAAAGTAAACTGAAAATAATTGACAAAAAAAGGAGTACAGGTGTCCAGGAAACATCTTAAGGGGTTCAAAGACAAGAAATTAAAATTTAAAAATAATGTCTTACTTCTCAGATCAGTAAAATATTTTTAGCACAATATTCAGTTTTAATGTGGGTGCTTTTCAACACTGCTAGGGGGAGTACAAACTGAACAACCTTTCCGAAGGGCAGCTTAGCATGTAAAATGCACCTTGACATGGTCATTCCACTCCTAGGAAGTCATTTCAAATAAATAACCAGAGATATTCACAATGTTTTTTATATAAACATGCTAATTTGATCAACACCTTGAAACAACACAGTAGTGTAACAATATGTAAATGGCATATATATATATATATATATATATATATATATATATATAACACAACAGTATAATATATCCTTGATGGCTGTTGTAGGAAAGTATCTAATGATGTGATACAATGTATTATTTAGGTACAGGCTCTGGTGTTAGTTATCCTAGGTTCATAGCCAGGCTCTGCCACTTATTTGATATGACTATATAAGAGGAGCCAAAGCTTCCTTATATGTAAAACAGAAATAATAATAATGTATTTAATCAGGGCTATTAGCAGGATTAAATAAAATACAAAATATAAAAAGCATAGCACATTTTCTGGTACATAGTAAGGACTCAACAAATATTATCTTGATGAATTAAAGTATAAAATTCCACAAAACTATATATTCAAATAATCCTAATTTTGTTAAGTAAGGAAAAAAACCAAAACACCAAATAAAATAATGCGGAAGGTAATTCACCAGCATATTCTTAATAGTAGTCATCTCTAGATAATTGGATTACATGAGATTTTTCTTTTCTGCTTTATGGATTTCCACATTTTCCCAATTCTTAACCTTGAACATATATTACATTTATAACTTTAAAATAGTCTCTGAAATCAGCACAGGCTAATTTGATAATTGATGATAGTGACTGTTTTTCTTTAGACTGAAGCATTACAGTTACTTGTTCTTTATTGAAAACATATGTGCATAACCATAAAATAACTGGACTAAATCTTTTGGATTCAAGGATCGATAATCTCTAAGCCAAAGCCAAAATAACATTTTCTCAAAAAAGGTAACAGACAGGGGTAATTAGTACACATGATTTTGAGCTTCTGTTTTTCAACAGAAATTTTACAATGCTCCTCATATACAGTATTAAAAGCTATGTTTTATGACCAAGGTTTTGGAGATAACTAGGTGTCTTGGAAATCATGCTTTAAGCTGTGTATTTTAAACCAAAATCATTAGTCTTATTTGTTCAAAGACTCACTTTTATTATGTGAACTTGGACTCTTATAAAAAATATCTCTGAGCTTCTATCCGAGTTTTTAGAAAGGATTTTTTCCTAAGTGTGTAGCACATTTAAAGTAATACAAGATTTATGAAAGTGCTTAGATTGTCTGTTAACCAACTAGATTATCGCTTCTCTATTAAATACTCTCCTTGGTCGGGAACATTCTTCATTCACACACAGTGAGACATATGGCTTCTCTCAGTTACAGCCACCGGGTAGTTCGTAGTGTCATCTCTGCAATCTCAGAAACAGCTTAAATGATCAAAGAAAAACAAAAACTCACTGGTCAATATTTCAAAGGGCTATTTTCCATTCTAGTGTTCATGCAATATTTTAATGAAATGCTTTGAGCTTTTATATAGATAGAGAAGTTAAAGGATGGCAACTCAAATTTTTTATCATCTCTCACATGATAATAGGTAATGATAATAGATCCCGATAATCCCAATAGAAGTATCAAATGGTCATGTTATAAAATTATATTTCCAACCATTGCTGCTACCAGTGGGGAATTATTTATTGTTTTTGTTGTTATCTAGTGCAAACTAGATCCAGACCAAAACTGGTCAAGATCCAGGAAAAAACAATCAAAAATACTAAATTAGAAAAAAAACATGGTAGCAAAGGTAAAGTTCTACTGCTACTTTAGAATCACGCTGGAGAGCAAGCTAAGATGTGGCTGGGTTTATAGTCCATGAGATTCATTTCTGTGGTAATACAGTTGAATTGGCTTTGTGAATCTACTCTGGCATCTTGGTGGGCCCTTCAAATCTATTATAGGCTAATAGTCAAAGAGTTCAAAAGATGACTTTCATAAATATAAAATGACCATGGATCAGACTTTATTCAGCTCACTAAGGGTATCAGTGAAATGGTAAATGTGTTTCAAAGAACATTTCAGGAGGAGGCCTTTAAGGGCAAGTTAATTAAGTAATGTTAGAATAACATTGCCAGTTTGATACAAAACTGGTTAAAGCCCTGGCCGGTTTGGCTCAGCGGTTAGAGCATCAGCCTGCGGTCCAGAGAGAACGGGTTTGGTTCCCGCTAAGGGCACGTACCTCGGTTGCAGTTTGTCCCCGGCCCTGGTTGGGATCATGTGGATGGCAACCACTCGATGCGTCTCTCTCACATCAATGTCTTTTTCTCTCTCTTTCCCCCTCTCTCCCTCCCACTCTATCTGAAGATAAATGGAAAAATGTCCTCGGGTGAGGATAAAAAAAAATTAAAATACATTTCACCAAATTGTTCTTGGTTGGGCCTGTTAAGTAATGTACCTACACATGATATTGAAAGGAAGTTTATTCCTATTTCTAAACTTTAAATATAATTTTGCTTAACACATGGCCCACCATGATATATGCAACATTTACCCAGGGTAATTACAGTAGCACTCAATTTTTATTGATGGGAAGAGTTAATATGATAAATTTATCAGTTTTCCTTAAACTAATCTTAGAAATCAGTGTAATTTTATTAAAACACCAAGTATTTTATGGAACGTGGCAAGTAAATCCAAAATTATGAAGCAGAGCTCAAGAATAGCTCAAAAATTCTTGAAGGCCATGAATTAGGTAAAGGAAATTGCCCTATGAAATGTGAAAACCAATTCTGAAGCAATGTAATATGCAGAGATAGTTAGGCAGACAAGTAGGAACTAATACAGAACCCAGAACATGTCGATGCACATTTGAAACCACTACAGATCAGTGGAGTAAAAAGCAGACTCTTTATTAAATGATGTTAAGCTGATTGTTTTTATATATTTGGGAAAAATAAAAATTGATTGCTAACATTTTAATAAAAAATAAAAATAGATTGCCAACACCTTATAATAAAAAATAATACCTAAATGCAGAAAAATAAAAAGCGAAAACCTTTAGAAGAAAATATAGAATACTTTTATAATCTTGAGGCAGAAAGGGATTTCTTAAAACACAAAAACTACCTAATATAAAGCTAAAATTACAAATGTGATTATATATATTTTTAAATTGTTTTCCTCAAAACCACTGTTTTCCAAAGAAATGTGAGAAGCAAGCTGCAGATTGGAGCAGAGGTATTTGCCACATATCTAATTGAAACAGTGTTGGTAGACAGGATATATGAAAACATATTATATAAATCAGTAAGAAAAAAAGACACAACCTAGCATCAACAAAAATGGGTAAAATACATGACCTAACAGCATGCAAAAGTGGACAGTTGACTCAAACATATGGAAAAACATTTAACTACACAAGTAATCAGGGAAATGCAATTAAAATCGCAATGTGATGTCTTTTAACACTGACAGGATCTATAGTATCTAAAGGGTATGAATACACCAAGTATTGGTGAGGTGTGGAGATTCAGAACCTTTCACATAGTGCTGCTGAGAATATGAACTGGTGTACACGTGTTCAACTAGAATTTGTCAGTTTGTTCAAGGTGAAAATGCCTCTCTTTCTTGACTAAGGAGTTCTATTTCTAGGTATATATCCTGGAGAAATTTACACATGTGTGTAAAGAGACATGTATGAAATTGGTTATTACAGCAATATTCATAATAGTTAAAACTTAAAGTGGTACAATTTTCATTTGCAAACAAATGGATGAATATGTGTTGGTATATTCATAAAAATAATATGGTTGTTAAAATGAACTAGCTAAAATTGTATTTATAATCATGGATAAATCTCATATTGTTGAGTGAAGCAAACTAAATTGTAGAAAGAGAGCTTTACTATGAAGTTTGAAAACTAGAAATGTACACATATTATGCCTATTTGTGCATATGTGTTATTTCTGTTTCAAAACATCAATAGAAAGGCTAACCATCAAAATCAGTATGACGGTTAATTCTGTAGAAGCTGTGAATGTAATAGAATTAGAGATAAATAATAAAGGGACTTCAGCTTTTCAGTAGTAGATTTATTTAGGAAAAAAACTGACTCAAATATTGCATAGTGCTTAGATTTCATAAAGTCGAGTATTGGGTACATGAGTGTTTATTATCTAATTCCTTCTGCATTTCTCCATGAGTAAAATACTTCATTTTGAGGATTAAAATAAAAGATATATATATATATAAAACATATGTCTAAATTTAAAAGCATTATATACTCAACAACATTAATACTGTATATTACTCCTAAACAAACAAAAACAAAAAATATATATATACACATTTATACACACACACACACACACATGCACATATATACACCTTTATGTGTGTACATATATGAATTTTATGTATGTGAAGGAATCCCCACAATTCCTGTTGTTTTTCCTTAGAGAGGAGAGGGCAGACTAAGTATGAGGCCCAAAAGGTACTTCAGCTGGATCCTGCTATGTTTTAAGTAATGTTTAAGGCCAGAAAGAAAAAAAAGTAAATATGTTATACATTAACAGCAATTCTTTGTGATAGGAATATGGATTTTGAGTAAAGTACATCTCTTTAATATTGCTTATTGATACTCAAAAGAATCTTGTGAAAAGATTAAACATTTGACAATGATCAGGAGCTTATCTATAAAAGACAAATTGTGTATCTTAAAAATCAAATATTTTGTCAACTCATTTATTGTCAATAGTAATGTATTATCAGAAAGATTAATTGTGGGTAACTTTTTTCTTTTCCCAAAGAATACAAGTCAATGACCAGATTGTGGAGGTGGATGGAATCAGCTTGGTGGGTGTCACACAGAATTTTGCTGCCACTGTTCTCAGGAACACCAAGGGCAATGTCAGGTAAACACACGGCTTCATGTGTGTATGATTTGGTTACTTGATATTTTGTTAAATTTTATTTTCCTGTGATTATACCTATAAATACATGTAATTACAGTAAAATTTTAATCGAAATTCTAAAAATGTGCCTTTAGTTTTTAAAAAATTTTAAAAATATGTTTGTATTAATTTCAGAGAGGGGAAGGGGAGAGGGAGAGAGAGAGAGAAACATCGATGATGAGAGAAGCATCAGTTTGCTGCCTCCTGCACACCTTCTGCTGGGCATTGAGCCTGCAACCTGGGCATGTATCCTGACCAGGAATCGAACCTGGGACCTCCTGGTGCATTGGTCAATGACCAACCCCTGAGCCATACCAGCTGGGCAGTGCCTTTAGTTTTTAATATTTCCTTCTTTTTGTAATGATTTCATGTGAATGTAATTTAAAACTAAAACTACAGCATTCTGGAAAGACACGAAGATATGTAGTATATGGTCTGAATCAACATGGTTAATTATTGAGCTATGATAGTGTGCCTTATAGCTAATACAATAAGAATTGCTAGGAAGATAGAGTTTTTAATTGTATCCTTAACAAATGACTTTAAACCTCAAATCTTTTTAATAAAACCAGTTATATAGTAAATTGAAATTGAAATAATTATACATATATCCAGTGATAAACAGGCCGAATTATGTGAGGTTAATAAATGCATTTTTTAAATCTTGTTTTAAAGAAACAGGTAATACTAATCTTTGGAAAAACTATATAGGACAGAGGATATATTCTTTTGGACACTGGAATTTGTATCCAGTCCTGGGAGTCTGAACATTGTAGCTTGGAAAACAAATAGAAAGTAGTCCTGAGCCAATAAAGGTCAAAATTTGGAATTTGTTTAATTTGGTCACAGGGTACTTATTTTTAAATATAATATTGCTTATGTCTTATACTTTCCAAAACATCCTATGAAGGAATGCATAAAGGGACATCATTCAGTATATGTAATTATGGAAGTGTTTTAGTGTCATCGTCAAAATGAAATGGCTGAATGATCTGAAAATGTTAATGAGTTAATTGGTCTGAAGAGGTGACATTATGATTTCATTGCAGCATATTTTATGTTGCACGAGCACGACTTTTAAGTTTGAGAATTTAGACTTATTTCTGTTGGAAAGCACCCATTAATGTTGAAGAGAATGTTTAAGAAATACAACCTCAGTGACTTTCATGGATGTTGTTTATGCTTCAAGAATACCCACAGTCCTGAGAAAGTATGTCAAATATTGGCAAGAGTCCAGGACAAACCATACAACCACATATACATGTGATTGTCTTTCTGGAGATCGCTGTCTGTGCCTGAGGCGGCACTTGCCTGTTTAGTAGAGAGCTTGTGTTTGAAGCTGCCCATTAGGCTTTAAAGTGAATTTTAAAATAAAATAAGATATGCATTCAACTTATAAAAACATTTCTCAGTTGGAAAAAAGTTTGTAGTTACATGAAACATAGTTATTCCTTTCTTTCTCTTCATAATTTTGTGCTGTTATCATTTCAAGCCTTGTACAAATCGCCAAAGGCTTCTCAACCGGTCTCCCTGGTTTTGATCTCTCCCTTTCTGCAACTGTCCTTCTCATTCTTACCCCTAGTGGAGGAACATGACAGTGGATTCACATACATGAAGGGCTATCAGGAGGAGCTATTGACTCATTCTGTGGAACTAGTAGTACAGCTAAGACCTGCAGGTAGACATAGTAATTCTGTATCTATCATGTCCCTCTCCTCTTCAGAAATCTCCAGTGGCCTCCACTCTGGGCAAAATCTAAGCTCTTTATCCTGGTAGTAAAAATCTTTCGTCACTGGATCTTCTCACTGACCTCTCCCTGTGCTCGTGGTCTGGTGCAGTCAATACTAGTATATGTAGTATCTTTCGAATGTGTCTAATGAATTATTTTTTTGTACCTTTCTCTCTGCCATTTTTTTTTTTTCTGTTCAAAATACTGTTTATAACCTACTTATCTTGAAGCACATATTTCAGATTCTTTCTCCTCCAAGAAGTACTCCTTGACCTCACTGTCCCCTAGTTATCTCTTCATCCCGGTACACTAACCATTCATTCCTTTTTTTTTTTTTTACCTTGAGGTTATAGAACATTTAATTTTCATCTTTTTAAAGGCATGCACCTTATCTCCCAATTCACTTTGCAAAAATCTTGATATCAAAATAGGACCTTCAGCCTTCTTTGTTCCCCCAAATTATTTAACCCTCAGTCTTGACTGAAATTATGTAAACCAGAATCTTTATTAATTGTTTGTAAGGAAAAAAGTCTTGTTTCAATTTTAACTTATTAAAAATAATATTTGAATCCCCTGAATATATTTTATGTGGTAGTTCTTCATAAAATATTAATACAAAAACAGGATCTAAAAACTAGACCTGTAGTTTCAATGAACTGATTTAAACTGATTATTTAAAAAATGTCGGGTTCTGTATTTATTATTCAGTGGTAACTTAGCTACCACATTCATTGGTTACTAAAATTTTTTTAAAGGTATCTAAAAATTACTAAATGTAGTTTGTACTTTTCTAACTACTAAGCATAGATCTGGGAGGAATTTGTTGGAACTCATGGCTTTAAAGAGCCAAGAAGGGGAAACATAAGCTAGTGGTGATGAGAAAATTAAAAGCAGGGTAGTTATTAATTTTTAAATAATAGAGATCAGGATTTTTATTTATTTTCTAAAAATGTATATGAAATTGGTGCCAACATTTGGATATGAATCAAAATCACACAATGAAATTCTGTGACTTCACTCACACTTACAGTCATTTTTTTGTTTTCTTTTAAATCCTCACCTGAGGATATTTTTCCATTTATCTTCAGATAGAGTGGGAGGGAGGGAGAGAGAGAGAGAGAAAGAGAAACATTGACGTGAGAGAGACACATTGATTGGTTGCCCCCTGCACAACCCTGACCAGGGCCAGGGATGAACCACAATCAAGGTATGTGCCCCTGACTGGAATCAAACCTGAGACTCTTTGGTCTGGGGATCGACGCTTTAACTGCTGAGCCAAACTGGCCAGGGCGAGAGTCTTTTTTTTTTTTTTTTTTTAATCTGACCTCTTAGTCTGCTTTATTTTATTAAACTTTGAATTGATATACCTGTGTTTATGAACTAATACTACTAATGAAAATCTCATTAATATAACATTTTTAACACACTAGAGACCTCATAATACAAGTATTTTAATATGATAACTCCCAAGGGCACATAAGTTTTTAAATCTTGCATCGTTTATATGAGTTAAAGCATATAAGGCTCCTTTGAAGAAGTGGTTCAACTCAAACCCTTTCTAGGTTCCTAGATATGGAAAGCCCAGCCCTGGCTTGTAAATTATTATTGGTTCAGTCACTTTATTAACATCACTAAACTAAGTACTGACAATGAGTACTGTGCTCATATCATGTTAATTACTTTTAAGAAATTGATTGGGAAAAGGACTCATACAGTTTATACTCAGAATTAACACAGCAATAAGAGGGAGAAAGATAAAGACTGAAGGGGTAGGTATGGAGGTCTCAGACACAGTATTCTTTATCGTCCCTCTCCTGGGGCCCCAGGAAGTGTTCATCTCTACATTTTATTTATTTATTTATTTATTTATTTATTTATTTATTTATTTATTTATTTTCATTATTGAAAGTATTGCATCTCTAGATTTTAAACCACCTGACATATTCATGAAGCAGCTTGGTGCTAAGAAGCCCAAAGTCTGTGGGTGGTAGGGCAATCTTATAGTGAGTTGGTCATGTAGTTGCATTCTTACTACATAACAGTTCAACCATTGAAAACCTCCAGACTCCACCAAATCCAGGGCTAAGTAATACATCCAGTTATTATTACCAAGCAGTTCGGAGGGGCTGATATGTCTTGCCTTGAAACAGCTTATGGACTCATATTTGCAAAACATTGTTTATTCTTGGTTAGTACATTTCAGAGTTATAACCAAGGGCCAGCACTATGCTCTAAGCAACTCTAGAGATAGGCACTTGGTCAGTTCATAATGGCTCTATATTAACTCGTGCTACATCATACATAGTGCATAACGCATTTACTGTAGACTCTTTTGACGTTTGTTGTTGTTAGTCCTCACCTGAGGATAATTTTCCATTGATTATTAGATAGAATGGAAGTGAGGGAGGGAGTTAGGGAGAGAGAGAGGAAGAGGGAGAGGAACATTGATGTGAGAGAGACACATTGATTGATTGCCTCCCACAGAACATTAACTTGGGCTGGGAATTGGACCTGCAACCCAGGTATGTGTCCTTGACCGGGAATCGAACCCATGACCCTTAGGTCCACACTGGCCAGGGTGACCCCTTTGACTTTGAATTCAGGTTCCTACTATTTAGTATGTCTTTATTATATATTTCAGTGTTACCTGGTACAACCTAAAAAGAAAACATAATTATTTAAAAACCTATAATCTTTTTGGTGGTTGATAGAATGTAACTTTAATAAAATGGTACTTTAATAGGGATTGCATTGACTCTGTAGATTGCTTTGGATAGTGTGGACATTTTAATGATGTTGCTTTTCCCGATCCATGAACATGCTATATGCTTCCACTTTTTTATATCTTCCTCTAGTTTTTTTTTTCCAATGTCCTGAGAACAGTTCTTTTACCTCCTTGGTTAAGTTTATTCCTAGGTATGTTATTTTATTTTTTTGTTGTAATGATAAATGGGATTTTTTGTTTGTTTGTTTCCCTTTCTGAGTGTTCATTATTGGCGTATAAAAATGCCATCAATTTCTGGATGTTAATTATGTACACTGCTACTTTGCCAAATTCATTTATTAAATCTAGTAGATTTTTAATGGAGTCTTTAGGGTTTTCTGTGTACAATATCATGTCATCAGTGAATGATGACACTTTCACTTCCTCCTTTCTGATTTGGATCCCTTTTATTTTTTTTTCTTGTCTAACTTGGTGTGGCTAAGGCTTCTAGTACTATGTTAAATAAGA